GTGTGAGCAGTACAAAGGCCGAATAAATTAGTACACCTACAAAAATACATTGGAAACGTGTTTAATTCCATCAATCAGACAGTTGTATGGTAGAAGCAAGCAATTTATCTTTCAACAAGACGGGGCTCCAGCTCATACAGCTGAAAAAGATAAATGTGATCCTTGTGAAGCTGTATATACACACATATATATATATATATATATATATATATATATATATATATATATATATATATATATATATATATATATATATATATATATATATATATATTAGGGTGGTGCACAAATATATTGACAATTTCAAAAGTTTCAAAAATCAATGTGGCACTTTTTCCTATTGTTCCTTTTATCATTATATTAATTCCTGCAAAATTTAAGCAAATTTGAATGACTTTTAGAGGTCGCTCATGGCCATGTTTCCTCTTTTAATTGCCATTATTTTCCTATTCTAACGTTACTGTGAAGTTTTTAATATGTACATTTGTTTATTTATTTTATTATGACATAACTCTTAATTTGATTTAATTTAATTAATTATGATAATTATTTTAATCGATTTTAAATATTTTTTAAATATATTTTTCTAATTTAATAGTGTGCAACTATCTTTGACAATATACCGCAAAGTATTTTAATTTTTGTTCATATGAGTGCTGATTTGAGGCTTTAAAAAAATAAATTCATTTTGTGATAACAATTGTTTTACTCAGGTTATATTTTGATTTTCAGAAATATCCTGTAATATGAATTCTCAGTTATCTTTCACTTCGTTTTCGAAAAAAATTGAAACTCGAACAACTACTGACATTTATCTTGTTGGGTCTGTTTCTCCAAATATTTCTGGGATGAAGCTTCCAACATGTCGTAAAGTTCTTGCAGTATTTTTTCATCTTCACAAAATAGAAAAACAAACCGTTAGACAAAGTGCAAGGTGTGTCATTTGAGAAGTATTTCATTTGTGGAATATGGCAAGAATTCCAACAACTATTGAACGTAATGCAATTGAAAAACTTGAAAATATTTTTTACAAATGGGCTAAAATAAAGAAAAACATGAAACGAGCTTCGGCAACACAAACAGCAAATGAAAATGTTTTTTGTGAAGAAATTGATCGCATTTTTGATATAGCACATGCTGATGCCATGAGTTTGATTACAATTGAAGAAGACAGACTATTTCTAATAGATCAGCGAGGTGAACGTAGGGGATACATGGCCGGAGTTGACATGGCATTGGCAAAAACAGAAGAACGTGTCCAGAAAAGAAAAGAATTAGAAGAGTCCAGACGTTTTCAGGAAAAAAAGCGAAAAAAAGAAGCTGAAAATACAAGTCACATTGATTCAATGCACCTATCTGACAAGTCTACATCTGGCACTGAAACCTCAGATGAAGAATTTATGAAACCAAAGAAATCTAATCAAAATGTTGTAAAAAAGTGATCGCGATCTCAAAATATCATTTCACCTGAGTTAGCATCTGCTATTGACCGAACCAACGTCACGGATCGCCAAGCGACTTATTTACTGGCAGCTGCAGCAAAAGGTTTAGGTCATGACATTACAGATTTTGCTATTAGTCGCGATACGATCCGGAGAGCTAGAATTATTAATCGAAACAAAATTGCTACAACCATAAAGTTTGCATTCAACTCGTCAAATGTTCCATTGACTGTTCATTTTGATGGCAAAATATTGCTAAATATTACTGGAAGAGATTCAGTTGATCGATTAGCAGTTGTTGTTACAGGTTACAACGTTGACCAGCTTCTTGGCATTCCAAAGTTAACAAGGGGTACTGGTAAAGCAATAAGTGAAGCTGTTATAACAACTTTACTAGATTGGGACATTCAAGACCGAGTTAAAGCAATTAGTTTTGATACAACGGCTGCCAACACTGGTACCGAAGCTGGAGCGTGTACTTTAATTGAAAAAAAGCTTAATAGAGAACTATTACATTTGGCATGCCGTCATCATATGTATGAAATCGTCTTGAGTGATGTTTTTAAGCATTCTCTTGGGAAATCCAGTGGTCCTGAAATAGGATTATTTAAACGTTTTCGTGACAAGTGATCATTAATTGACAAAAATAATTATGAAACAGCGTTAAATGATCAAACATGTTCGAACATTTTGGCTTCTCACACCATACTCAAACAGGATGCACTATTTTATTTGAAAACAATTCTTGAATCTGGTAAACAATATCGAGATGACTACAAGGAATTGTTGGAACTAACCTTGTTGTTTCTTGGTGATGTTCCTCCTCGTGGGGCTGATGTAATGGCTCCCGGAGCCATACACAGAGAAAGGTGGATGGCCAAAATTTTATATTCAATGAAAATATGGACGTTCAAAAGGCAGTTCAAATTAACGGCAAAAGAAGAAAAATCACTTCGAGGTATTAGCTTGTTTGCTAGTTTGGTGTACACCAAATTTTGGATATCATGTACCAATCCAACACTTGCTCCGTCGAATGATCTCACTTTCTTGAAGACTGTTTTTCAACATAAAGCCATTAACAATGGAATTTTTACAGCTGCAGCAACAGCATTTTCGAGGCATTTATGGTATCTAAGTGAAGAAATGGTAGCATTGGCTTTTTTTGATAAGGAGATCAGCAAGGAAACAAAAGCAAAAATGGTTTTGGCTCTACAAAATGCTGGAGAGGATGAACCACAGAAAAGAATAAAAATCGATTTAACTTCAATTGAAAATCTGCAAATAGAAAGTTTTGTAACAGAGAATACCTTAAATTTTTTCAACATTTCGGAATTACCAACTACTTTTTTGACAACTGTTGATCCTGACAAGTGGACCGAAAATGAAGAGTTTCAACAGGCAGAAAAAATTGTAAAAAGTCTACGAGTTGTTAATGATACGGCTGAAAGAGGAGTAAAACTAATTCAGGATTTTAATTGTTCAATTACCAAAAATGAAGAACAAAAGCAATTCTTGTTGCAGGTAGTCTTTGAACACAGGTCAAAGTTTCCTCTGCCACAGAAATCTTTGTTGATCGATGGAACAAAGTCATCAAAAAACGATGGAAACAAAAACCAATGAATTTTTTTTCATAGATTACAATAATTTTTTGCAAAGAAGCTGAAATATAAATGAAACCTAAAACTCTAACAATTTTTAAGATTTTTTGGAACTATTATTGTTTTTTAAATTTGTCTTTACTATAGTGAACACAAATACGTTATTATAAACCAGAAGTTTATTACTTTATTCTTCAATTATTTTATTTGTAAACAATAATATATATATAATTCAGTTTAAAAAATACTGCATGGTTTTGGATTAATATACAGTAAGAGTTAAAATGCAATGTTGTATCATAATTTATTCAAAATTTGGGATTGCACACTAAAAGAGAACTCAAACCCAAAAAGTAAAAAACTTGATGTTGATGAGCAACCTTTAAAAATTATTCAATCATGCCCAAACTTCACGATTGTTATTCCTACACATAATGTCACATAAAGAAATGGTACCATCAAAGAAATTAAAAAAAATTTTTTTTGCACCACCCTTATATATATATATATATATATATATATATATATATATATATATATATATATATATATATATATATATATATATATATATATATATATATATATATATATATATATATATATATATGGTTAGAATTCAATAAATACGGCTGCGTATAAACTTTATATATATTTTTTCTTTAATATATAATTATTTCGATATTTTGCTAATCTTTTATGATCATCAGCGTCATCAGGTATAATAAATAAAATAGTTACAAAAAAATCGTTATAGTAAAAACAAACGGTTAAGAAGATAACACTAAAAAGCCAAAATATAGGGTAAGTTGGCGAATTTCGGTCAGTTTGCTGAACATTTGCCGTAAACGTTATAGAATATAACCAAACGGTCACCAAAAGTATAATGAGCTCAATTTATGCAGCCAACTGTTTTATCTACAAAATAGTAATAATTTAGGCAATTATTAAATAATATATTTTATTTATTTTTTGTTTTCGTTGTGATTTTTTTTTTTTATAATTAGCACAATTTCGTGCAAGTTGACGAAGTAAAATTTAATTTCGTGCACTTTTTTTTATAAGTTAAATTTAGTAGATTTATTCAAGATGCAATACTTAATTCATATATAGTTTTTTGCAAATATTTTGCTAGTGATTAAATGTCTGACTTAGAGTTCGATTATTTGTTGGAACATAACGTGGGGCCCGCGGCTATTTGTTTGGCCTATGGATCAAGCCTGTTTATAGGCTTGATCACTGGGCTTAATAATATATTTTTTTACAGGTCCTAAAAGTTAAAACACCCTCTTAACTTTTAGGACCTGTAAAAACAAGTGATGACATTTAAAAACTTTATAGAGTTATATAAGCTACACCAAAAACCTTTTGAGTAAGCCCCAAACATTATTTGTCGAATATTATTCTGAAATGGCACTGAAAATATATTTATTTATAATATAATTATTTCGTTAATGCTTAAACGAAAACTAAAAAATACTTAGAAATTTTTGTAAACCAATAAAATAAAAAACAATAAAGAATTGAACTTAGTCAGATGGATTTATATGGTCTAAATTGTAACGAGGCTGTGCTCCTGGAAATATAACTAGAGGTTTTTGGTAGTTTCCATCTCCGGATACCCAGCAAAGAACTGTTATTTGCGTTTTTGTGTCAGGGGCTATGCGATAAACATTCTTTATACCCTTTGAGGCAATTATTTTCAGCCTTCTCAATGTCTCCGCTAATGGAAACCCTGCTTCATCTAAATTAAATACTCTACTAGATTTTTCTGGTAATAAGAACTCTAAAGCGTTTATTTGGTGTTCTACAAACAAATAATTCTCCAGGTCAGTAAACCATTGCCTGATTTTTGCATGAGAAACGTTTCGCTGCTCGTGGTCCAAATTTTCAGGCATTCTTCTTGCAAGATCTGAATGCCTTTTGAAAAACAGATAAAGCAAATACAAAACAATCATAGGTCAATCAAAATCTAAAATTTTGTGTTGTTTCTTTATTATATATTTAAAACACTTAATAGAGTAGCAACTATTTACCTATAGATCCAAAACTTACTTGGCAGATTATTCACAAACTTTCTATGAGCTATCATATCGTTTTTTTTTTTATCGTTAAGTCGATGCTCTGTTATATGTTGCTTTTCTTTAATGTCTAAAAGATTTTTTACTATGCTTGTTTCATCGTTTTGGCAAATACCATATCCTATTTTTGCTGCTTTAATCAAAAAGTCTTTTATTCTTTCTTTGTCCTCTTTTTCTAAGGCAGGTTTACAACCTTTAAGTAAAAAAAATATGTTAATTTCTAAAAAAATCTTATGCAATTTTATTGCTTACAGAGAATTACATCTAGAAAAGAAAGTAAATAAATATTTTAAACAACACTAACCGATCTTTTGCTTGGCGGCACCGTACCTGCCATTTATTCTACCAACAATTGTCTGAGAAGGTACATTATATTTTAAACTTGCCTTTCTCCATGAAAAATGATTGTCTCGAACATCAGCAACAGCGGCCATAACAGCTTCCTCGTTATATTTTTGGTACTTCTGTCTTTTCTTAGAGTCCGTAGTCACGATAGCAAACTTGATTAAAAAATTATAACTTGTATATTCTACTATGATGATACTATATTTTTAAAAAGTTGAAATTTGAATTCAAATATTGCTTAGTTAAAAAAAATCTAGCCATGCAGACAATTTCGCAGCTGTTGCTTTGTGTAAATTAAATTTCGGGCATAATGCACGAAATATACTTTCGATAATTCGTGCAGAAATTTTTTACTTTAAAAAAATATTTGTTTATTGTTATTATTTTTTTTTTACCTTTCCATACAAATTTGTTAAACTTGGGTGAACGATAAGTACTTCTTTTAAAGAAATATCGTGCTTTATTTTTGTACAGTTAAGTGTAAAAAGATTTATGTTTTTTCACTTTACGTGAAAAACCGATGTATCGTAACTTATTATAGCTTTTTTAATATAAATATTTGGACTACCGACATGGTGTTTGCAGTAACTTAATGCGGAAAGGTTGTACTAACTGAAACATGAAACAATACTTTGATTAAATTAGCGTCAGTGTGATTTTTTTGATGCGAAAGGCTGTTTGTACGAAATTCGATGCTACCCAAAAATTGGGCTTGCAATCCTGTAGGTCTTTCTCAATATCGGGATCCCGGGAATGAAAAACAGATACAGCATCAATATAGTATTAAGGAGAATAAAAACTCTTAAACAAAAATATATTTTATAAATGATGCTGTTTGCATTACATCGTTACATACACACAAGAAAAACATGTTAATGTTAAGAAATCTCATTAAAAATAATGAATTATATCATGTTTCATGTGCTTTAAAAAGTGACTTCAGGAAGCACAACGCGTCCAATGTTTCATTGCCCAACCTGTTACGAATTTTATTATTAAACAGTCTAGCGGAAGAAAACACCCGCTCAGCCTCGAAACTTGTCGGTTTCACCGTCATTAGAAATGAACAAACTTTTTCTAAATAATCACCACGTGTACCACCATTTTCAAATAATGTCATTTCTTTTTGAATTTTTGATAACAGTGTTTCATGCCTAACTGGTTGCATCGGTGATTGCACTTCTTTAATTACACAATCTATTTTCAGTTTCAGGTTCTCCAATTAAATCCAGCGATATTATTTTCAGTTTCAGGTTTTTCAATAAAATCCAGTATATCAGACTCAACTGATGCTCTTATGTTTAATCTTTCCAGCAATTCTATCAACAGTTTTCAACATTTATATGAAGAAGGCGCTGTAATTATTTCTTCATCGAATTTAACGGAGCTTCCACCTTTATGCAGGTATTGCAGAAGTCCACTCATATCAGTGCGGCGTTCATGTGTACGATCCATTAAAGCTGTACGCATTTCCTTGCTTGTGTCATTGTCAGCATCTTTTAATTTTGTAAGCATAAAATTAATAGCAACGTCAGCTGTAAATAGATTAGAATCTCGGCGACAAAGTGCTTCAACTGTTGCTTTAATAGGAACTAAAGTTGTAATAATTTCTGATAATATTGTCAAATCATCATGCGACAGAGCTATAGAATAATATTGCACTGTGTAAGTATCAATTAATGATTTTTGTGTACAATTTATGCATTAACAGAAGACTGCTCCACCTTGTTTTGCAATCCATAATTAAAGACAGTTGTTTTCCAAATTCAGCCTTATATATTTTTGTAAGCTGTCGTTCTTGGTAGGTGATCGTCCAAATATTATTATCAACTTGCGTACTTTTTTAATGACTGGTTCATAATGAACTTCATTTAGTTCAATTTTAGATCTTAAAGTTTCGGATGAATCACTGTCAAAAAATTCATTTTCAAATTCTGGCTGATTTGCATCGAATTCTCTTTTTTATATAGAACATCAACTACAGCAAGTTGTTTGGCGTGGGCAAAACATAATTATTGATTTGCAGCCAGCAATCTTCCAACTTTTTTCATAACACTAGCTCCGTCGGTCATTATAGCTACAATGTCGCCGTGTAGATCAAGACAATGGTCTTTAAGTTTTTTCTCTAATACTTCAATGCACTTTCCTGCTGGCATTGACCCTGTTATTCGCACTAAACCCAAACTTCAAAACTAAGAACTTTTTCCGTGAACGTTAATATTCATATAGCGACAGTTTCGAAGTGACGTCGATTCGTCAAAAAACAAAGAAAATTTCTCTACTACCCCGAATTCTGTACTCTTAAGTGCTTTAATTTGCTGAACTAAACGTAATCTTAATTTTTTGCTGTACTCTACTACTATGATTACGAATTGTGTTAACTGACGTTGGTAGATTTCTGAACTCCATAGCAGTTAGAGCGGCACGTAAATCTATTGAAGAACAAATCACATTAAATGAAAGTCCGTCAGACGCCGTTAGACAAGCAAATGTAGCGTGAAGTGTTTTATCTTCCTTCTCAAAAATTGAAAAGTATTCTGTTAGTGGTTAAGATTTCTTTTTTGGTGGTTTATCTGATGTGCTTTCTCCGGTAATATTAAGTTGGGTAAGACTTTCGACCTTCACATTATGCACCGACAACATGTTTATATGAAGTCCTTTTGTTGAACCACCACAGATTTTTAAAATCTTCTTTTCTTCGTTTGACAAATTACACATCGCTGTTTGCCCTTTCTTTTCTCGTAGAAAATATTTCCAAACAGCTGAGTTACTTTTAATTGTGAAATCCACATACGCCATCCTTATTTAAGTTTTAATTTTAAGAGTAAACCTTGTAAGAAACGCGCGTTTTTTTTTCAGTTTAAAAAAGTTTATTTTGCATAATTACAGAACAGATTAACTGAAAATAGAATTACTTTCGGCGATATTATACTAAATAAAAATTATTATATTGATGCGCATAATTTGTTGTTGTTTGTATATATTTCTTGATTTCCCCTTTGTTTTGCTCGATCGTGTAGGGAATTCCGGGATTAATATTAGACAATCCCGGGATTTCGGGATTATAAAAAAGGCCGGGATCTCGGGATTTTGAGATCTTGGGATTGCAAACCCTACCCGAAATTCGCCAACTTACCCTAATACAAAAAAAGTTTTTAAATAACTGACCTGAGCAGATTTTATTAAAAAATGGTCCCCAGGTTTTAATTGTCACGTTATCACCGTGATCCCGATTGAGAACCACGTCACCATTTCTCAACTCCTGTCGAAGCCTAGCCTTGCTTATTTCGAGTGACTCTCTGATTTTATGGCAGGATGTTGTTCATTAAGGATGTTCAGGAGCATTTGTTGTTGTTTTATTGAAGCAAAGCAAGCGTGACAATCATCTACATATCTCTTGTAAGTTTTTGGTTCGGATGTATAAATAATTGCTATGTTAAGGGCTTTTCTCTCTATATTTTGTAAAAACCCTTCCGCCATAACAACCATTAAAGATAAACCTATAGGACCTGAATTAGGTATTATTAGGTATTATTACAAGAAGAAAAAGGGCAAACAGCGATGAGTAAATTATATATATATATATATATACATATATATATATATATATATATATATATATATATATATATATATATATATATATATATATATATATATGTAATTTATATATATATATATAATTAAATATATATATATAATTTATATGTATATATATTTATATATTCAGGAAGTGACTATAAATGTTATTTTAATATATATGTATATATATATATATATATATATATATATATATATATATATATATATATATATATATATATATATATATATATATATATATATATATATATTAAAATGACATTTATAGTCACTTCCTGAATTGCTTAAATCTCATGTTGTCTATAAATTTTCTTGCGCTGGCTGTAATGCCAGTTATTTGGAGAAACCTCAAGACATTTGGCAACTAGAATAAATGAGCACCTTAAAAGTGATAAACATATCTCATATATTTAAACACTTAAATTTATCTGTTAATTGCAAAAATCTGGCAAACTGTGATTCTTTTGAGATTTTGGATAATGCCCCAACCAAACACAAATTAAAGATAAAAGAAGCCCTCCACATTAAATGGGAAAGTCCCTCACTAAATAAACAAACAAACATAACAATATGCTATAAACTTATCTGTTTAATTTTACTGTCAGTTTATTATTATTATTATTTTTTTTGACAGTTAGTTATTTTGATTGGTTATTTACCAAAACCATAACAATATATATTCTGAAATAAAAGTTTGGAAAATCCAATCCTTCAAAAGGGCAATCTAAATTTTACCGACCGATGCGATCTCCAACGGAAATATAGTTTTAACTTTAAAACCAAAGAAACTCTGAGATTTTTAATAACATTTGTATTTAATATTTATTATTAATCATGTTGTTATTAATAATGTTTTCGTTTAATATCAATTTTGAAACATTTATATCACATTGTTAATGCCGTAATCGGGTCTTGAATTTTTAAAAACTGTTCAAACAGTACTTTGACGGTTGGATTTAACGTTTCCCTAAAAGTTTAGATTCCACGGGTGTTTACTAATAGTACGAGTACTAATCTAAGGTAAACACCAATTAAATAATAATAGCAATCATGTAATAATAATAATGTAAATTAAATGAAGACGATTATAATAATATCAATAATATAATTAATAATAATAATGACAATAATAATGACAACAACAATAATAATAACAATAATATCAATAACACTATTAATAATAGTACTAATAAGAATAGTAATAATAATCTATTATAAGCCTAAGATTTTAATTAGCGTATTTTTCTATCAAAGTCGAAAAGACGGGTTTTGTATTGTGAAAAAGAGTTGAGGGATTGAAAATGAAAAGGTAAATAATTCCACGATTTTACGCGTTGGTTTATTACCGAATTTTACCGAACGGCGATTTGGGATAGATAATTTAAAGTTACTCAAAGATCGAAGGTAATAATGAGGACTTTTTTTAGTGGTAAAAAAATTGGAGAATGACTGAGGGAGGTTTACTTGTTTATGATTCCAGACAAATAGACAATTTAATAAATAAACAAGATCACATAACTTTTGATAGAAAGTAAAAGATTTAGAGTTAGAATGTTACTGTTGAAAGAAGTTAGAATGTTACTGTTGAAAGAATATTA